GCTTAAACATATTTATATCACAGTTTCTTCAAGAGGTTCAAAACAAAGAACAGATGTTTCTGGAAAGCCTAGAAATCGACTATATGTACTTGTTTTTTGTTTTTGTTTTTTGATAGGGAGTGTGCAAGAGTAGATTTTGCAGAAGGGTAGAAAGAGAATCAAAGAGCCATTGGGGAATGCCGCAAAAAGAAAAAAATACAGAATCATTATCTGTGTTGAAAAATTCCTCTCCTTGAGACATAATAGACATACCAGTGCCACATCGTTAGCTCCTGTCAGATGTGTGACTGATCTGGTCTTGCCAATCTGCTTTGAGAAGGAACCAGATTAAAGCAATCATCCACAGCTTCCTGCACATTAAAATAAGCAGTTGCTACCGGCCTCACGAGAACCTTTGAAGTGTCTAACATATAAAATGCCTTCACCACTTGGAAATAGAATCTCAACCCCACTCTCTTATTTTAAAGCGCGATCCCTTTTTAAACACTTACACATTTGGTGGTGGTGGTGATGAAACTTAATACTTTTAAGAGAAAGAATTGATTCTCCAAAGTCTTTCATCTCATTTTGAAGGTTCCAGGGATGTCACATCTAAGTAAATACGGCGCCTCTACCAGTTAGCTATTGCTACCTTCACCTCAGTGACATGCTATAAAAAGCATGTATTTCTCACTCATGGTCTGTGGGTCACCGGGGCAGGTGGGGTGGGGAGGCTGTCCTCTCATCCCCCTTCTGGGTCCAGGCGACAATCTAGGCTTATGTCTACTAACATTGCTTTGGTCAAAGAAAACCATATGGCCATTTTCACAGTCAAGGGCTAGGAAATGCATTTCATCTTTGGTGGGAGGGACTACAGGTTTACATGACCAAAGGTGTGGATACAGGGAGAAATAAAGAATTGAGGCCAACAATTCAATTTACTTCAGTATCTAAAGCAAGAGCCTGTTGAAGACTGCTTCTCAGTACTGTATCTACAGATAGAATTTCTGGCTCTAGAGTGATCAGACTCCAACAAATTCTAGATCTCCGTATGTAGAATGATTTTGTGTGTCTCGATGGCAATACTCATCTGTAGGCTGCATTCCCCAGGTTAATGGAGGGGATACTGGGTTTTCTTGGCTCTCCTAGCTCCAGAATACCAAAACTATCTTCCAAGGAGTAGTCAGGAGTTGGAGAGGAAGTGGAGAGGGTTGAATAGGTGGACGATTTTTAGAGAGGTGAAACGATTCTGTATGATACTGCAATGGTGGGCACGTGATACTAAGCTTTTGTCAAAGCCCATAGAACCCATAGAACTTTACACCACAGAGTGAACCTTAAAGTATGAGAAATTTTAAAAACCCATTTTGGAGGTCAAGGATTTTATTTGGGACTCCCAGGGTGTGGAGATAGATGAGAAACTTTGGATGTTCCAGACATGCCTGCATTGGCTATAAATTCTAGTCTTGCATAAAACGTTGCTACCAGAGTTTGAAGAAGAGGATTAGCATGAAACCAAACTATGTTCATCGGTGATCACAGCTTGGATTCATAGAAATTTATTAACAGCTCTAGAATACAGTAACTAGAATACAAGCGTCTATATTTATCAGAAGTGCGGTGGCACTTGAGCCATGATCTGACCCCTGCTTTTTTGTACTCCTTTTGTGTGACTGTCTCTCTATCCCACCCCCAGCCAACTCACTATGCCTCAGCCATCTGCCTTCTGCATTTCAAGATCATTCCTACCTTGAAGTTCTTGCCTGTTGCTTCCCAAGCGGGGAAAGCTATTGCCTGTCCCTCCATGTGACCAACATTTCATTTGGGACCTGAGTCTCTTTCTCTGATTTATGGTCTCTGCTTTGGAATGGGTGCTGTGAGGACAGTCAGGAGGTCCCACACCACACACATTGAACTAAGAGAGATTCCATGCAAAGTTCCTGGTGGCCACTGCAACAGACCCCAAAACAGCTTGATGCCCAAGAGCTGCCCAACATCTGCAAAAGGGCATTGAGGATGTCGGGATATTGCTGTCTGGATACAAAAAGGAAGCAGGAAGTAGGGCAGGCCCAAATAAGTGATCTATAAAGAAAACTCACTGCTGTGGAAACTTCTTGGAGGATGAACTGGCTCTCATGTGAGTCCTACTGGCCTTTGTTACCCAAAAGAGGGAGAAGAGGAGGCAGAGAATGAAGAAGGGGTATTTGACAGAATGGCCACGGAGCCAGCTTTTTCACACTGATTCGATGAAGGACTGAAAGCCTGTTGTTGCCTACACATACTCATTGGTCTCTCTCTCCAGTCTCATGACAATTTAACTGAGCATTAGTGAGGGAACTAATGCTGTATATTCTCTAGGGATCTCCTTGGACCCTGGCTCTATGCTGGAGCAGTCAGCTCAGGGCCATAGAGAAGGCAGTCTCTGCTGGGCCCATGGCAAAGATCTCAGACCTGAAGATTCCCTGATGGGCCCCAGATGGGCAGATGTGTTAAGGGTCCCTCCAGTTGGGCCACAGTTGTCCACTTGTTGCTTGGGGTTCTTGGAGGATATGCCCAAACCTGGTGAGCCTAGAAAACCGGAGTGGGGATTCAATCATGGAATATGCTTTTCTCAACCTGTGCAGCAGAGAACAAATCCTCTGTTCCCTACTTGGAGGAATCAAGAGGCAGAATGGTAAACTTACCTGCACGTCAGCAGTAAGTGTATTTCTTCTCTGTTAGCCTGACTTCTTCACTGCATCTCCACTAAACAAAACTAGACATCTTTCCCTGGAAGTTCTTTTTCCTTGGTCCACAAGACCCCAGTGGGCTGACCTAATCTGAGGGTATAGTCAATCAGTGTTACCCATTGATGAGCACTCTGTAAGTTGAAGGAAAATACCAGAAACAATAACTAGAAAAGGTGGCTCCAGTTAAGACAGAGTCTATGGAGAAGGTAAAGAATACATTCAACAAAATAGAAACGACTCTCAAGGAGAGGCAATTATAGAGACAAAAAGAAGGTTTTTAGAAGCTTATGCTAAAATAAAACATGATGCCTGAATTTACAAATATAGTAGATAGACTGGCCACTTTTGAGAATGAAACTGGTGCTCTGAGGGAGCAAAAAAAAAAAAAAAAGAAAGAAAGAAAAAGAAATAATACAATAGAGGCCAAAGACATGAAAAATGGAAACTATAAACAAAAAGATGATACATGTAAGTATCAGCTGCTGATGTAAGTAAGAGCTGCTGATGTAAGTAATAGCTGGTTCAGGAAAGAAAATAAAGAAAGTAACATAGAGAAGAAAATTATTAAAATATAGGTGAAATAAAAGAAATTCTATGATGCTAAAGAAAGATCCCAGATAAAACTGAACATAGCCTCAAAAAACAACTGAAATACTCTAAAGATAAAGAGACACATAAACTTTTAGGATACACAGGTCACTGACGGTGATAAGAAAATCAGACTTAAAATTATATTCCAAATCAGTAGCCAATGGGAGCAATGATGATGGACTACGGAGAAAATAAGATTAAGATCTAACGATTTTATACCTAGCCAAGATATCATCATGTAGAGCAGAACAATAACATTTTTAGACAAGTAAGGATTCAGGGTAGTGCCCCTCTTGTAATCCTTGTAAAGAAATTCATAGGAAGTTTTTTAACCAGATAAATAGGGAGCTCATAATATGGAAAAACAGGGAGGGCAAAAAACAGTGATAGCTATATATAAATGATATGGATAATGTGACTTAAAATCTATAATATGTCCAAGCATCCTTTAAAACAATATAGTCTGAGGAAATAAAAGGTCTCTTATCAGTAGAGATGGGATGGATGGGGAAGTAAAAGGTGCTGGGAAAATAGAGATTATGTAATGTTTATATATTGGTGGAGTTAAAAATTTAGTAAAAACATGTATGATAAGACCTGCTAGCATAATGAAAATAGTATACTTTCATACTAACAATAGAGAAAAAAATGAAGGAAACTAGGGAAAGTAAAGTCTAAAAGAACAAAGAGAAAATAGCAAGCAAAAAATAGCATGGAAGACACAAAGCCAAATACATAAAACATCACAATTATTTTGTACTGACTAAACTCTCCTATCAAAAGAAAAAAGGGGCAACTCTTTCAGGTCCCCTGCCACTGTGGGAGCTTTTCTGTCCTCTCAATAATCCTGCTTTCTAAAAAAAAAAAAGAAAGAAAAAAGACTGTCATATTAGCTATGGTGTAAAACTCAGGTATAAGGTATTTCTAGAAATACACTGAAACAAAGTAACAAAGACAGACTGGAAATTAAGGCAAGGACACATTGAGTAAATGTGAAGGAAAAACAAAAACAAATCAACATGAACACCAATATTAATATCAATTAAAATGCAATTGAAAGCCAAAAAACATTAGCCATGCCAAAGAGGAATGACATATAATGGGGAAAATGTTGATCAATGAAGAAGCTTTGTATAAGTCCTAAATAAACTTACTAGAATAAGTAATATAGCAGCCATGCCTAAAAGGCAAAAATCCCAGAAATACAAGGAAAAATTGATAAAAACATATTTATTGTGAGATATTTTTAATATCCTTTCAGAATTTGACAGTTCAAATATACAATTAAGGTAATAAGAGATTTGAAAAATACAATAAACTATATTTTTTCTCTAATAATTCATGTAACACAAATTAATAACATACTTGATTGATGACATTAAGGAAAACTTTAATTTCCCAGAGTAGATTTTTTAATAATTCATTTAAAAAGGAAAAAAATAAAATGATTTTTAAAGTCTTGAATTACTGAGAAATTAAAAAAACTCTTCCACATAATTCCTGGTTCAAAGAAGAAATAAAAACTGAGACCATAAATTAAATATTCAAAGGGAAAAGCAAATCATTATATCAAAATTCTGATTCATTTCACCATTGGCTACTGCCAAAGCTATGTTCAGAGGAAAATTTGTAGCCTTAAATGATTTTGCTATTTAAAAATAAAAAAAATACACAAACTCATGACTGTCACAAAATTTTTGGAGCAATTTGCACCTTAATTTTTCTTGATTACTGAGAAAAAGATTAGGTAGGTCCTATGTTCCAATGATATTCAGATTTTCTTCATTTGGACTATCTTCCTTTTTTCATTTCTTCCCTTTGTCAGTGTCACAGTGAGAACGAATAAAGCGATCAAGAATTTGTCTGTCTGAAATTTATAAAAAAAAAAAAAAAGGATGAAAATTTCCATGTCGGTAAGCATTTACCTAATAAATAGAGAACTCTAGGAAAGAGGAAAATACATGATAATAGTATTATATATACCAATTGGATAAGATATTAAAATAATCAAAGTCTATTACATCTAAAACTTACAGAGGCACAGCTGTATAATCATTGATGAGGAAGGGTGAACTTAACATTCAGGGGGTCAGTAGGCTGGCTTACTGGGCGGAGCATGGATTTTAGAATGAAACAGGCTTGAGTATCAGTTCTGTGCTGGCGAATATCAGCAGATCACTTAACCTCTTCACTCCGTCATTTCCTCACCTTTGAACACAGGTAGCAGTACTCACCTTGCGCAATTGTTGGAGTGGATAAGGGATGTTGTGTGTGAAGAACCGAGACAGTCCTGCCCCATCAAAGACACTCAATAATCATCTTATCCTTTTACTACTGGGTGCACAGCAATAAACAGTGTTGATAAACAATAGATATTGCTGTTCCAAAAGTTGCATAGATGCTAGGGCTTTTTTTCTATGCACTAACATTGGTAGACTAGCTGTCCTAGAGCAGTAAAGGTCTCTGGGGAGATCTTTCAACTCCCTGGCCTCCATCTCCTCTGCATCAAGGAGCCTTGTCTGTTTCTGAACATCTATAATTCCCTAAGCCTAATTACGTATTTTAAGAATACGCAATACAACTTTGAGAGTGGAGCCATACAACTTTTTTTATTCCCAGCAACTGTGCAGCCAAAACCAAAGGGAAGTGACAGTGCAAGTGATATTATCCTGGCTCAATGTCGCAAATGCCAGCAAAGGTATAGGGATGCGGGCTCCAGCTTTCTCTCCAATTATGTCTGCATTTATTTGCGTTTATAATCTTGTGTCTCCCTACTCTACTCCACACCTTGATTCCAATATTTTCTAATTGAAATATACTTTCCATAGAATAAAATGCACTGACCTCACATGCACAGTTCCTACTGACATACACATCCTTGTAGCCCCGCCCATAGGATGACATAGATCATTTCTACCATTCCAGAAGACCCGAATGCTCCTCCTCTGACAATGCCTCTGACCCCAAGACAGCCACCATTCTGATTCATTTCACCATAGATAAGTTTCCCCTGTTTTTAGGACTTCAAATAAATGAAATCATACAGATGATATTCTTGTAGCTGGTTTCTTTCGTTCAGCATAAAGTCTTTGAGGTTCATACAATTTGCTATATACATCAATAATTCTTCCCTTTTTCTTATTGAGTGGAATTTCATTATGTGAGTATACCACAGTTTATGTGTCCATTTTCCTGTTGGTGGAGATTTGGGTTGCATTCAGTTTGAGGCTATTAAGAATAAAGTGGTTATAAAACATTCTTGTGCTTGTCCTTTTGTGGACATATGTTTCCTTTTTTTCTTGGGTAAACACCCAGAAGTGGAATTTCTGGGTCATAGAGTAGGACTATGTTTAGCTTTAAGAGAAGTTGGAAGACCTGTTTCCAAAGGTTTTATGCCATTTGATATTTCCACCAGTACCGTGCGGGCTCTGATTGTTCCCTGGCATCAACATCTGCTATTGTCAGGGCTTTTTATTTTAAGTGTTGTCTCTATTTTTAAACTGGATACATTACCCATGAAGTTATTTTAAAATAAGCAAGTGAAACCTTTTCTTCTGATACCAAATATATACATACAAGATGAATCAGTAAAAAAAAGTTTGGCATGAATTAGTAAAAAAGATGAGAGTGTACAATTTAATGTCAACTTAAATAACTTTTGAAAGGCTATCAATTGTGAGTCAGAAGCTGTCCATATTTATTATGTATTCAGATGCATGCTCTCATGATTATGTTTATGTGGTTTCTTCTGCTAGGACTGACCCTGCCTGTCCTTGTCAAGTAAATTCATCTTTGAGACTTATAGGATACCTCCTCTGAACAGGTCTATCCCCTGTCTATCCACAGGGTTGAGAGTACCCCTAGCAGGCTTCTACCACACCCAAAGATTATTTTGATGACCGAGCTTGTAACGTGATGAGTCTGTCTCCCACACTAGACGTTAAGTTCCCTGACCAGTGGGATTTTTTAATGTATTTTTGCATCCAATGGTCATTATAGGTATTCAACCAATGACGTTTATTGAGTGAGGAAATAAATGGATTCTTAATATTAAATCACAGGCTAGAGAGAAATACCACTTAGATAGCCATATTCACGGGAATTTCTGTTAGGGGAAGAGGCCGGGGGGGATTCGTAGCTGAACAAGTTCTCAGCAAGCTGCATTTCAGATCATTTTCTCTTTCAAGTCTGGGGAAAGTGGGTGGATGACACAGTCTTTACCAATAAATAACAGATGTCGAAAGAGTAAGTTTTAGGAGAGTTTGAAGAGGACTCAGGGATTAAAAATTTTTGAAAATATAAGAGTCACTAAAGACATCCAATTACATCTCCTCAAGTTATAAATCAAGAAATTCAATATCCCAAAAGTAGCAACACAGAGTTAATGGAAATAAAAGGTTCACCTCCAACACTATCGCTTACTTTCTTCTTCCTCGATGTTAATTTCTGCCTTCCTGGAATTTTCTCTATTCCTCCTCCCCCCAGTCATCTCCCTACACTCTCTCTCCTTTCCCCTGACCTGGGCCATTACTCAAGGGAATGACTGAACCTTTCCCCTCCACTTTCTCTCTTTCAAAATGTACCTGCTTGGACTCCCATTCCATCGAGGCCTATGACCAACATGGGATAATCCAGTAAAATAATTTAAGCTAAGCTGATAATAATTTAGCCTAATACATCCGCCAGGTTTTTAATTCTCTGCATACATGTTCAGCTCTGCCCCAGAAGCTCTGCTGAGATATTCACCAGCTGAAGAACCTTTATGTCATCCTGACGCTAGAAAACTACAAGAGGTTTCAGGCCCAGGCCTTCAAAGGCAAGCTCCCAGGCTCTCATGTAGCTGGCATTGATGCGTGGGTCGTTCCAAAGCAGGGCTTGGAAGAAGAAGCTAAGGCCTGTGGGAAGCAGATCCCATGCCAGCCCAAGTCAGCACCAAAGAGGCAAGCTCTGGGGCACAAGCCCTCTGTGCTGCCCTTAGGGATCCAGGAAAGCTAAGAAGAAACAAAAACCTGAAGTGGCCTTGTTAAAGCATAGGTTGAGCCCCAACATCTGGAGAGGAAAGCCTGACCAACCTGGTGGGCAGACAGTGTTCACTGGAAAGATCAGCTCACTTGCAGTGTCTGGGAGAATGGAGATTCAAGTGGAGCAGAGACTGCCTTAGTACTCTGAGGAGTTCCTAGGTGCCTCTTAGGGGGTGCCACTAAGGTGTGGTTTACACCCCGCACACAGACAGCAAGAGACCAAGGTACTATGGCTACCAGGTCTCCACGAGGACAGAGAGTGACATCTGCATCTGTACTGTGAGCCCCTGGGCAGATAGGAATGTCTGCTTGGAGAAGAGGAAATACTCTTTCTTTTTTTTTAATTTCGAAATTCAAATAAAGTCAGGGATGCGGCACTAGGATTCAGAAACTACTTGCAAATTACAATGTTCACTGTGTGGCATTTTCTGAAAGAACTAGAAATTGACCTTCCATAGGACCCAGCAATTCCCCTATTGGGAATATACCCGGAGGAACTCAAGTCATTCTACAAAGATGATACCTGCACATGTATGTTTGTTGCAGTTCTATTCACAATAGTAAAAATATGGAACCGACCATGCTGCCCATCGAAGCTGAACTGGATAAAAAAATGTTCATATACACAATGGAATATTATGCAGCCACAAAGAAGGACAAACATATGGACTTTGCAGCAACTTGGATGGATTTAGAGTTGATCATACTCTGTGATCTAGCACAGAAACAAAGAACAGAGTACGGTATGTTCTCACTCATCAGCAGACCTTGAACAATTATAATACTATAAGAAAGGGATTGGCAGTAGTGGGAAACTGCCAGGGGAGTGAGGGTGGGATTGGCCGTTGAGGGAAACTGCCAGGGGAGGGAGGGGCACACCTCATCCACAAGGGAACCTGCATAATCAACGTTTGTATACCTAACCCTGAGTGGTGCCCAACATCTTTAAAATAAAAGAAGAAAATAAACAAAAACAAAAATAAAATTTCAATCACTTTAGGGGTGTAAATGGCTTCTGGTGACACGGATGCAATGTATAGTGGCAGAGAAGTCTGGGCTTTAAGTGTACACATCACCCCCACTAGTGCACATTGTAGCCGATAGGTGATATTTTATCCCTCTCCCCTTCCCACCTTCACTGTTGTGAATCTCCAATGTCTATTATACCGTTCTATGTCCTTTACAGATCCTTAGCTTAGCTCCCACTTATATGGGGGGACACTCAAAAATCCAGAATTTATTTATAAAAATTTGTATGTTTATTCTCACATGTTTAAACTTCAGTCACTTTCAAAGTACTCTCCCGTAGATACAACACACCTATTGAGACACTTTTTCTCTGCTCAAAACAGTTTTTGAACTGATTAGTGTGGATGCCTTTTAGTACTTCTGCCGTTTTTTGTTTCACTTCTTCCACACTGGCAAAATATTTCCCTTTGAGGACTTTTTTCATCCGGAGAAATAAACAAACAAACAAACAAGTCCCTTGGAGGGAGATAAGGTGAATCAGGAAGGTGGGACACAACGGTCATGCTGGTTTTGGTCAAAAACTGCTGAACACTCAGTGCGGTGTGGGCAAGCGTGCTGGTCAATCACCCATCGTGAAATGGGCAAAGCAGTCAAAGCATCTCCAAAAAAAATTCACCAAAGTGGAACACAGCCTCTCACAACCACACTAGCTAGTACACTGATGTTGATGGGTTCCTAGAATACTTACCTCGTGGGGAAAACCTGTATTACAAAAGGCCTACCCTCCAAAAAATAATTCTGTTTTTTTGAGAGGTTCCCTTTGTGAGAACGTGTGGTATTTGTTTTCCATTCCTGGGTTACTTCACTTAGGATAATGGTTTCAAATCCCATCCAAGATGCTGCAAAATACATTATTCCACTCCTTGTTATGGCTGAATAGTATTCCATGGGTGTGTGTGTGTGTGTGTGTGTGTGTGTGTGTGTGTGTGTGTGTGTGTGTATGTCCACACACGTAGTTACATGACTGCTTTGTACAGTGGTGAAGAAGTCTGGTTTTTAAATGTACCCATCACCCCCACTCTATGTCAGAAAATATCACATTTTCATTATCCACTGATCAGTTGATGGGCATTTAGGATGGTTCCACATCTTTGCAACTGTGAACTGTGCTGCAATGAACATGTGGGTGCGGGTGTTTTTTGGGTGGGGGTATAACGATCTCTTTTACTTGGGGTAGATACCAAGTAGTGGGTTGCTGGATCCAATGAAAAGGAATGCTCATACACCATTGATGGGAGTGTAAATTAGTACAACCCATATGGAAATCAGTACGGAGATTTCTCAAAAATCTAAAAGACAGACTCTTTCTAGAGGTCCATCAGCTGTGGCACCTGGAGGTAAAAAGAGCTCCTGGCAAAAAGCAGAGAATAATTTTATAGACGGGCATCAAAGTTCAGGAAAAGAATGGGTGGGCAGGCTTGAGTTCACCGCAGGGCTTCAGCTGGGCCCTCTGGGAAGATTGGGCCAAGCTCAGACCTCCAGGGACCTCCCGGCTTCCTTCTGAAGTGTCAGACTGGCCCAGAGGCATCTGTGGAGAGGAGCAAGCCTCCCACCAGAAGACACAGACGCTGTTTCTGCCTCAAGATGAAGTGAAGCATTCCGCTCTTAGACTTTCCTGAAGGCCAATACCCAAGCTCTTTTAAGGGTCTAGACCCTCAGCCCTCAGTCCATGAGGTTGGAAAACACCCTTGTCACTAACACACATGCACAGCCTTCTACAATTCCTTATCAGTCTTGCCCACAGTAAGATCTCAGTCTTTGTTGGGGCAGAAGATTCCAGAAAAACAGACTTTCAGCAAGGATTTCAGAGGAGCAAGCTCTTCTCATTTTTTGTGGCTGGGGACAGTGACCACAGGACCCGAGAGAGTCAGGAAGGAGACAGGGAACAGTGGCGGGGGTTGAGGGGTGGATCCTACGTGGCTGATGGAAGTCCTGAGCTCATCACAGGGCCCAACACAAGTCAGTGGCCCCAAATAGCCTAGGGTACAGAGAACAATCTGTTGGGTGCTGGGAGGGATTTATTTATCATTTTTTACTTTATTATTATTATTGTTATTATTTAATTGTAGTGTATAATTCTGGGTTATGCATACAAATATTATTTTGCAGGTACCCTTGTTGAGGAGTTGTGCCCCTTCGTTCCCAGGAAGATCTCGACTACTATCAATCCCACCCCCCCAGCCCCCCACCCACAGTTTCCCTCTACTGTCAATCCCTTTGTGATAGTATTATGGTCGTTGTTCAAGGTCCACTTATACACTGACAAACTTCTGCAAAGCCAAAGAAACCACCAAGAGAGCAGGGAGACAGCCCACAGACTGGGAAAAAATATTTGCCAACTCCACGTCTGACAAAGGCCTAACATCAAGGATCTACAAGGAACTCAAACGTGCTGGAAAGAAAAAAACAAACAACCCCATTACAAAGTGGGCAGAAGATAGTGCAGGATTTAGAGTCCTATTTATATTTGTTTTTACTTCCTCCGGTAACGGTTTGCATGTTTTATACTGCTGGATATACTTTATATAAGTACATATGTCTGCTTTGGGCTTTATGCTCAAGAATGAGGGGGGATAGGAATTCTAGTAAGGGTGTGTATGTTCATGTGTGTGTGCATGTGTCAGGGGATGAGGGTGTTTTCCAGTCTCATAGACTGAAGGCTGAGGGCCTGAAGACCCTTAAAGGAGCTTGAATGTTGTGTTTTGGGGAGTATTGGCTTCATAGGACCTGGGAGGCAGTGGTGGGAAGAGAGGCATTTCCTCTCCTAATTCACTTATTCTCTGAGTTGACATTTTACACACACGGTTCGACTGACCGTTGCCCCAAAGATGCTCCCAGACAAATTCCAGTCACTTAGCCCCAAATGCGGATAGTCCTTTGTCATGGAAGGGAAGCAACGCTGTCCTAAGAATGGCATTTGCTCTCTTTCAGGGAGTGATATATAGGATTCTCATATACCTTTAAAAGCCTGTCACAGGAAAGTGCCTGCAAACAGGAAATGAAGATTAAACAAAACAAAGCTATGAGACAATACGAACACTCACTGGAGGAATCAATTAACTGTAAGAAAGAGAGAAGTTATCCTGGAGCAATTCAACCATAGGCAAAATGAGATCAGAAAATGAGTGAAAACCTATATGTCTCCTTTTTACTAAGTGGGAATATTGTCACTGGGGCCTCTTTAGAGAAAAATATTCTTTCCAATGGATTGAGGCTTGCACAACGTGATGAGTTTTTGTTTTGTTTTGTTTTTTGTTTTGTTTTTCTTTGAGGCAATATTTTCCTTCTTGTGAGGCTTTAATTCCAGTCTCTAGAGATGGGAACAGTTTTCACTGTTATTATGATCTGTAAGGGTGTGAAATAGTAAGTCAAGACTCACCATTGTAGGAAACACTCTGGAGGTACTCTTGGACTTGAGAGGGCGTGAACGAGTTTAAAAGCGTCAGGAAGTCCAGGTAGGTTTTCTCGTAGTCACTTTGGTAGGTGGTCTGCTTCCTTGTGCGCTCTTGGTGTCTTAAGTAGCTGCTCAGCACGGAAGGAACTGCAGAAACACACGGGGAAGGGAAAGGTACAGGGGCTGTCCCCAAGCAAAGCATTCTTGCCCCTATTGTTTGAACATGGTTCTGGCAGTCGTGAGCCCAACTTGGAGCTTAATCAGCATCCTTATGACATTGGACTGTAAGGCGCGGTATTAAATGCGTTCCTTCAATGACAGGGGTTGAGCAGAGCTACCGGGACTTCCAGACTCTTGGTACCCAAAGTGGGAGTGCTGGGAGACAGTGGCCAGAAGGGTGACTTTGGCCACCACATTCAGAAATTCACCCTGAACTTGACTCTTACACAGGTCAGTGTGTTATTAATAGTACGTGAAGGAAATCTTAATATTTCACCCCAAGATATACTTCGTTGATTATTTTGAGAAGGCCTGCAGACAGAAGCAGCCTGCAAAGCTGTCTTCTAGGGGTGGGACTGATTTGCATCTGTAGAGAAAAATCTGTGTTGACCCAGACAGGCATTCTCTTGAGGCCTCCCCTGTTCGGATCTAGAAAACATTTCTGAGTCTGACTTTGAAGGTCTGAAAAAAATATTTGGACCATCCATTCTCTCTTAGGGCTGCTCCCTGTGAGGTTTCATCGAACAAGACCACCTTTGGTAGCCAGAAAACTCCTTTTCTCCCCTCCCATAACTTGTTTTGCCAAGCTCTAAGCCCCTGCTCTTTCTGTAACCTCAAGATAATATAAAAGCATCGGCCATCTGGCAATTTCTTTGAGTTCTTGTTGTTTTATATGACTCCCATGCACATTAATACATTTGTATGTCTTTTCTCCCTTTCATCTGTCTTCTGTCAGTTGATTTTTCATCGAAACTTCAGAAGGCAAAAGGGAAGTATGGCCTTAGCTCCTAAAATAGTAACATTCACCATCTGCTTGGTAAACAAAAACCCTTCACAGAAGCTTCCTTTGCTTTCGGGATCTCTCTTGTGCAGACTGGGGCAGCCACACCAAGAGACTTCCCTCCAGGGACCCAGGTGTCTGAAGATGAGTGGTTTGGAAGAATGTTGATATTTGTCATCATTGTCCGTTCAGATGAATGGGAGGACGAGGCAATTCCCAGCATGGTTATATTTGATTCTGAATATTGCATGTGGGTTCTGATATTCATGGAACTGTCATGGAAAAAAATGATGTGAAAACCGAATGTCTACAACTTGCCCCATCTTTGTAAACCTTCAGACACCTTCCAGCTCTAGGTGTCCCCTTTAAGGGGCCATTGGTCAAATGGAAGGACCAGGCAAGTGAAGAGATTTGATGCTAGATTTGTAGAGTCTGAAAAAGAGAAGACTTAGAAGCATTGTGATAAGGCTTTCATAGATTTCTACTATTAACTTTCAAGGGAAGAAGTAGAACCCATAGCTAGACGCTTAGCAAGGAATATTCCAGCCATCACAACTTTGAATCAGTTGGAGCATCAGACAATAAAGCCCTTGGGGGCTGGGGCATCATCCTGAAGTGTACACTCAAGGACGGGATCGCCCCTTGGCAAGGATGGGTTGGGGGAGTTTCACCCACGACATGAGGCTCTAGGCCAGGGAACTTTCAGGCTACCCTCAAACCCTGAAATGCTAAGCTTCTGTTCTGTGATTTTTCACTTCAAGTACCAATTGGTACCAACTACAAGCCAGGAATACATTATGTCTCAGACTGACCGAGTTTTCTCTTAGCTAGGTGACTCGGTGACTACACTTTTAAAAAAATTTCAAGGGTTGTTTCATGGGAGTACACTTCCAGTAGAGAGTTGACAAGATGAATCGGATTACCATCCAATCTCTTTTTTCCATCATTTTACAGCAACTACAACCTTTGTTTCATTTTATAAGGAGGAAGGGTCCCCTAATCCCAACGACCGCCCCTTCCCAGACAGAGATTCACTCATTTGGGGATATAAGCAGTCAGTTCTCTCTGAGAGGTCTTGGTTCTCTCTGTCTCAGGCTGGGGGCCATGTTGGCAAAGGACCATTCCATCCCAGGATCCCTGGCTCTCTCCAGCACTGTTATCAGAATCAGCTGCCAGAGGCCCTGCATTGAGAAGTCTTGGAGCTTGGGGTTGGGCTCCAAGGAGGTGTCTGCACCACCACGGGCTTACTCACCCAGACCCTGAGCAGCGATTGGCAGGGTTGAGTAACATCCATATTTGAAACTGAAATCCTGAAGCTCGGGAATTTTCGCTGGAATTTGGTAATTCCGTCGAAATTCAGTGTCTAGAGGTCGAGGAAGTGACTTCTTCCAGTCCAGAGACACCTGAGAACTTTTCTTAATCTTCTGAGCTGAGGTGGAAACAGGAGACAATAATTACTCATCGTAAGCTGTTTCTAAGTAGCTTTTCATTCCATTTGGCTTCCGGCAGGAGCCTCCGATTTATCATACTAAAAACCCACTCTTCTTGCATTTAGAGGTGCAGTCAATGTGCTTTTTATGGGCACTTCAACCAAGAAATAATTTTCTGCTTTATCAGTCACAGGAAGTGTATGCTCAGATGATTAGAAGTAGTTTCTAATGAACATATTTGTATGTCAGTTAGGAGTGTTCTTTTGTTCTGCTCGGTGGGCAAAGAAGGGACTGATCACTTCACGGGGTCTGCCTAGTCCCTGGGGCAAGGTGGGCAGCAGAGGGAGAGATTTTGGACAGGGCCAAGATTGCCATAGAAAACATGAGATTCCCAGTTACATTTGAATTTTAGATAAACAATGAATACTTTTCAGTGTATGTGCAAGTACTCATTATGTACTGTAGATCATTATTCAAATTTAACCGGGGCCTCCTGTATTTTGTTTGCTTAATCTGGAAGCCCTAGATGGGGTGGTCTCTATCATTCCCACTAGCTGGAAAAGAATCCTTTGAAGCTTGTTCTTCACTGATGGAGGGCCAGGTAGCATCATTGTCAGCAGTGGACAACTGCACCATTATTTCTCTGAGATATCTCTACTGAAACATACTCATTAAATATATCAACATTAAATATCCGTGAAGCTCAGAAGTCAGTTCTACACTGAAGCCAGATTACAGAGGAGAGAGTTACAAGCCATAGTTCACCCCTAATTCATTCTACAAAGTTGTAGTTCAGAGACACATCATAAGACACCATCTTTATTCAGAAGGACAAAGATGTTACAAACACGAGGGTCATGAACAATGTCCAAACAGTGCAAATCACTGTGGACCCTGAACTCAATTCTCTTCCAAGTTTTTCAGTAGGTCTTATCAAAATAAGTTCTAATATACATTGTATATCACACATTTCATAATGGCATCTACTGGTATATGTTGTATATCAAAGGATACATAATTGCACCTACTGGCACCTGAGAGCATTTTTATATTGATTTTTTTAAAAAATGATTTGTTTAGACCATCAGAGGAGGAGAAGTTTCCACAATATGCCGCCTCTTACTTTAGATGGTCCGGGAGGAGAGGACGTGGGTACTCAGTGACCCTGTAAGCTGCTGTAGAGCAGACAGGTTGTAGAGAGGAGGAAACTGTAGGACTCAACCTCAGGGTAGCCCTTTAGATATTGTAGAAAGTCATCTGGAACGATTCCTATAACTTTCTAGAACTTAGTGCTGTGGTTGAAATGTGTCCTCCCAAAAGCATGTGCTGGAAACTTAATTTCCAGTGCAGCAGTATTGGGAGGGGGAGCCTGATGGGAGGTGATTAGAATGGATCAATATTGTTATGGTGGTATTGATCCATTCCCTCTTGTTCTCACTCTCATGCCTTCGTGCCCTTCCACCTTCTGTCATGGGCTGATGCAGCAAGATGCTGTCAACATGTGCTCGGTTTCCCAGCCTCCAGAACCATGAGCCAAATACGTTTCTTCTGTTCATTCCAGATAACCCAGTCTCAGGTATTCTGTGACAGCATCCCAAGACAGACTAACACACTTGGTTTTTGTAACCAACACACTTAGTTTTATAGGAAAAAAAAAAACCACATTTCTGTTGGAGTACTTGTGGGTGTATCTATATCTCTTCCCTAGCATTCTCATTCAACAGCAAATGTCTTCAGTCCCTATATCTGTTTTGAGCTATTTGCCAAGGTTATAGATAACTAAGTCATTGTCCTATCTTAAGAGGACTAGTGTGATTAGGAAGATATCGACAGGACAAACAGATGGGGAATGTGATTTTTTTTATTTTAATTTTTTATTGATGTATAATATTTGTCCATATCTATGGGGTATGTGTGATATTTTGCTACATGTATAGAATGTGTAATGATTAGCCAGGCTCGGTGGCTCAGCCTGTAATCCCGCGCCTTGGAAGGCCAAGGCGAGTGGTTTGCCTGAGCCCGCAGGTTCGAGACCCGCCTGGGCAACTTGGCAAAACCTCATCTCTACAATAAATCAAAAACTAGCCGGGTGTGGTAGCATGCGCCCATAGTTTCAGCTACTTGGAAGCCTGAGGCGGAAGGATCACCGGAGCCCAGCAGGTAGAGGCTGCGGTGGCCGGGAGCGTGCCACTGCACTCCAGTATGGGCAACAGAGTGAGACTCCAACCCCCCCCCAAAAAAGAATGTGTAATGATCAAGTCGTGGTATTTGGGATATCCATCATCTTAAATTTTTTTTAAATTTTAGAGTTGTGGGGTACAAGTAGAATTTGCTACATAAGTAAGGTCCATGTAGGTGATATTTGGGCTTGCAAGCATAACACTTGGAACTGTAGCTCTCACATGCAAGTGACACAGCAGAATCACATAGCACAACTGCTGAACCTAGCCCAGGTGTTGATCACCTCCAGAAATGGGTCCCAGGCACTTATACTGTGTATGACCTTCCCATGTACCTAAAAATCACTGACTCAGAGCTTTGAATACGGTTGTACAGAATCCCAGAGAGAGTGAGAGGGCCTGAGCTGGGGAGGAGGATGAAGACAAGGATAAAAGGAAGCACAGCCAGGGGCTTTGGTCATGGGTCAACAAGCAGCCAAGAGTGTCCAGAGTGTCCATGGCTGGTGGGAGCCTGGGGCTTGCGGGGCAGGGAGGAGCAGCTGAGGGTGGCATGGGAGAGGTAAGTCAGGGCCAGGTTGTGAGGGGCCTTGAATGTCTGGTCCACACACACCAAGATGGACCAGCACAGACGTGGAATAGTTGAGGATGAAGCAGAAAAAGAACACTCAGGGTCTAGACTTAGTCTGAGCTCCTTTGAAAACAAAGATTCTCACTCTTTATTGATCCTCAGTACTTATCACAATAATAGACCTCATTAAATATTTACAAAATGAATGAGTGAAGAAAAAAACCCTAGAAACATAATTGCTATGGATTAACAATTAATATCTGAACCACACTCTAGTGACCACCTACGTGACATTTGCTTAAGTTAACCCCTAGCAAACTGTGTATCGTTCATTCCATAGCATGGGCTTAGTTCTTCTCAACTGTTTTTGTTGTCTTTATAAAGTTTCACGTTAATGAACTTCTCCACACTTTACTAAGAAGAGAGGTTCCTGATACAAAGAGACCCAGACAACGCCTGAAACCCCCCACAGTGGTGCTAAAGAACGGACAGAAGTGACTGCCATGTCTCAGAGCTAACCTGACCCAGCGACCCCTCTCAGAGGGCCACACCTGCCCCTCCTGAACTCAGACCAGGCTGGCTTCTTTCCCACTTGAGTGGCACTGGAGCAGTTTATCCCACTGAAGATTAGGTATGGCATCTTCAAAAAGGCCCAAACCAAAAGTAAATCTACAGCAAGGACCATTCAAAACCACTGGAACCATGGGCACGTAATCTGAGCCAGGTGGGAACCAAGTCCACTGTCTATCACCTCTTCCATTTCATCAAAGCCAAGTTCTCCAAGCCTGAATGTGAAAACAAGCACCTTTTAGTACTTCTCACTCATTTGTCTTAATTCAGTAATGGGAAAACAAAGCCAAGACACAGCCCCTGTGTGTTTCAACGAATTAGATAAACAAACACACACAAAACAATGGCAACATCATGTGGTAAGACCTGCAACAGAGGTAAGAACAGGGGCTGTTAAAACATGAGGGAGGGCCATCGACCCAGAGGTGGGGGCTCAGAGAAGCCTCCTGGAGAGGAATGAAGTTGATGTCTAGACTTAAGTTACAGAGAGACATAGGCTGAGAAGTAGGAAGAGAGATTCCACAGGGAGGAAGCCATGTGTGCAGAGAGCACACGGGGCCATGGAAATGGGGTGGGGACCCTAGAAGACTGTCGGCAGCTCAGTCCTGTCCACGAATGTGGGAGCAGTCAAGGAAGGAAGCAGAACAGTGGCCAGAACAATCCAGATTGCACAGGATTCATATAAGGCATTCAGCTTTATCCCGAGGACAACGATGAGTCGCTGAAGAGCTTTAGGCCACAAGGTGACATCAAGCGACACATCTGGAAACTCACTCTGGCTGTAACACAGAGAGTGGATTAATGGGGCAGAACTGGACTGGGAAGTTGGGTTAGAGGTCATCCAAGGGAGAGACATTGGCGCCCTGAGCCACAGAGGACTGTGGCGAGTGAGAGAAGCAGATGGAGGTAAGAGATTTAGGAGGGAGTCTTGACAGGGTCAGGGTATTTTCCTCTCAAGGGGAAAAGGTAACTTGCTTATGCTGAATGGACAGCTTGGACTGGAAGCTCAAAGGCATTTTTTAAGAATGCTGACGTGTCACATGTTTTCTCATGGCTCTTAATGTTTACCTACAGGCACATAGTGAAAGGATAGGCTGAGAGTGGGAAATGCATTTTCCTTGACTCTTCCTCCTAAATCTTAATACAATGATGAGAAAGTAGAAGCTATGCTTTTGGAGAAATACACACTTTAAGTAAAATTCCTGGTGCCTGATATCAGAGGTATCTCATAGTGTCAATTGAGCTTGCCTAGGGTAAAGGGAATTTACAAGGCCTAAGACATCAGACATTGGTCAAGGATTGCAAAAGTCATGAAACTTGTAATTACAAAAGGAAGATACAGGAGAATTAGAATCTTTGTCATGCCCTTCTCTAGGGGCTATGATAATATGGACAGACATTAGTGGGTCTCTGTGTCACAGGATCTCCAAGACACCCACAGATGTCGATAAGGAAGTCACGGCAGTCACGTGCAATATCTCCAAGAAAAGGATTTAAGCCAGGACTCTGGGGGGCTACGACGCCACACTCACCTAGAGTGTAGGCCCGCTCCCTTTCTATGGGGGGGTGTGAAGCTTTCTTAAATAAATCTTTTTCCAGCAGGGCTCGGTGGCTCAGCCTGTAATCCCACGCCTTTGGGAGGCTGAGGTGAGTAGATTGCCTGAGCCCGCGGGTTCGAGAC